TCTGCCAGGGTTTAAAGTCCTTCTCCACAGGGGCAACAGTTTGATTTCATCTTACTGTCCAACTGACATTGCACGTGACATTTGCATTGGGGTTATTTGTGTTTATTTTCCCAGAAGATAATCAGAACATTTGCTGCTCAGTTTTCCCCTATGCCAAGGAGTGGCTGGAGAGTTGCACAGAGCCTGGCATAGTTCGGCCCATTTGTTCATTTGTTGGTCTCACAGTTGCAAATAACTGTAAGTGCAGCTCAAGCTTTACATAGTTTTGCTTTTGTTAAAAGCAAGTTTAATGTGATAGTTAATTTTTTTTTTTTGGTCAATCTCTACAAATTCATTTGCTGTTCTTCCAACCTTTACTCTGAAAACTGTATTCCACCATCTTTACTTGCACTACATTGTGCTTAAGTCCAATGTAGTGTAAGTACAAAATAGCCACAAACCAGTTACATTTTGTAAGGTCAGTAAAGATTATTTGGAAGCTGTTTTGAGTAGAAGTATTTTATAAATAAAAGTCATTATTACATCACTAAAAACAATTATTTAGGTAGAACTTGGGCATAATGTTTGCCATTTGTATGCTGTATTAGGGTCATTGTTTCCTGTAACTATTTCATCTGACAGATACTACATTTTTTGAGGTTAATATGTATCCAGCTTCTGTTGTATGGCGTAGAAAAACTACACTGAACCTAATTGGCAAAATGCTAAAGTAATATGCAAACTGTATTACTTAAAACACTTTTTTTCTTTTTTTTTTTTCACTAAGCATATGTGCAGAAATATTTTGTTTCTATTGGTGGATTGGATACATTAGCTAAAGTTCTCCTCGAGCTTATGCATGATTCCTGTTTGAGCCACTCTGGCACAAAACTTGCAGTAGTAGTAACCAAGACTCTGGATGCCTGCATTGCTAATAACTGTGAGTGCAAAGACAGCTGTCATTTTCTATATATACTAATTTTAAAATGTTTAAACTCTTGTGTTGGTGGAAAAGTGATATAAATGGATGCTAAAAGGCCAGTCAGTTGTAAACATCCCAGTTGATGCTGCAGATTTTTTTAAAATTCAAATGCCTGTATGGAGGGTGATCCAGTTCATCTGAGGTGGTTTACTTTCCCATTGTTGCTAAAATAAACAGTAAAATTTAAACCATACTCAAAAATGAGAGATAAGATGCTAGAGCTAGTTTTGGGTAAGCTGAGACCTGGGCATGGCAATCAGTTTGGATCCTGGAGTTAGGTGTGTGCCTGAATAATAAACTTGGTGAGCTTTAGGAAGTTTGGTGACTCAGAGGTGGGGCTGGGCAGATGTGGTGTGTGCAGGACAAACCTTTACTCTGCTGTGCTGCCTGGGCAGTGCCATCCTAAGGAAGTCTCTGTATTCCATCAGAACCTTTGGAGAAGCCTGTGATCTGGTGACTCTGTGGTTGTTACATTTGACACTTGTGCCATAAGGGCTCACTCATGGAAGGTCACAGAAGTTTAAAAACATACACCTGCACTAGTTCTGAGTCTACTTTCAGATCAGGTGGTATGTGACAGGGTTAGGCTTCAGCATGGATGGACCAGCAGTGGTGTTCCCAGTTTCAGGAAGAGGTTGCCCTCTAGCAGAAACATTGCTGGCTCTTTTTGTGGCAGATACTCTCTGTGTCAAACCTTATTCAACTCTTTTTTGCTCTGCACTGGAGCTGATAGATGATGTGGAGAGGCTCAGCAGAGATCTACAAAACTTGCCCATTGCAAGCCCTTGTTTGTCAGATGTCACAGCTGCAAAGCCCACAGTGTGGGAGGAAGGGCAGTGCTGGATTTGGGAGCCCCAGGAGGGCTGTGGGAATTGAGGGGTTAGAGACAGAGAGGAGCAGAGCTGTGCAGCCCCAAGGCTCGGGGAGCTCTGTGGGACTCCCTTGAGAACAGCACTGCACACTGGGGGGATGTCTGTACACTCATTATCCACTTTATTTTTCTCCTGATTATTCTGAACATCACAGCTGCCATGGGGGTTGTCTTGGCAAAGTATCACACCGTGGCAGAGCTGCTGAAGCTGCTGTGCAACGAGACACTGAACACAGGAGAAAAAGTCAGCATTATTCTGACAATTGGACACTGTACTGAAGTTTGTGGTAAGATCTGTTCTGTCAGCTTCTGCTAAATTCTCACATACAAACTCCTTCAGTGGGGTCATTTCAGCAAGACTGGAACATGAGGGAAAGTTCTGTTAAATAATATTATGTTAATAGTTAGGAAAAAAGGTTTTCTATAATGTTCCATCTTTAAAATTTAAAACTTGTTAGCAGATGGTGTCTTTAGGAGCTTTGAAAAAATAGACTATTATGCAGGAATTCAGGGCTGGGCTTAGGTATCACTGGGTGGAATTAATCCAGACCTAAAAACTACTGCAATATAAACATACCAAATGAGTTGTCTTGAGCTCTCTTTTAATGGTCCTTGATATATACAGGTTCTGTCCATTGGTTATATAGCTATTAATTTTTTTAAAGGCTATATAATAGCATTGGTTTTGAAATAACAAACAGTAAGTATCCCTGAAATCTTTTTGTCAGGCTCCTCAGGGCTCCATGTTCAAAAATTCTGATTGATTATCATCCTCTGAATGTCAATAACATTGAATAATTAGCTCAGTAGGTCATAAGTCTATTTTAAAAGACATTTTTGCATGAAGAATTAATTGAAACAAAGCTTAATGGAAAATGTTTTTTGAATAGAAATACGATTAAACCAACAGAATAAAAGTTTCTCTTAAAATGTCAACACAAAATAATCATATTTCATTTTTTAATTCCTTTTTTATCACATTTAAACAACACAGAACTATTTTTATCAAGTTGCCAGTTTGATGAATACATATGCAAATGAGTTAACAATAATGAATAAATGAAAATAAATGAGTAAATAAATAAATAAATAATAAATCAATCAATAAAATATAAAATTTATCTGGTGCCATAGTTAATGAAGAGGAAGAGAGTGGTTAGACCAGGATTAAACTATTAAATTTACTACAGTATTGCTAATTATAAACTTTAAACCTTTGATAGTTCTGCACCTCAGGGCTTACAGAAATGTAGTGTAGTATAATGGAGGAAAAGAGGTACAGAAGCCACAACTCAAATGTTTTAGGCAACAATTAAATGAATTTGGAACTCCATCATATAATTTGTCTCGGTCGTCCTTCAGTTTTCTTACAAGAAATTTGATTTTTGGCCAAATCATCCTGTGTGATGTAAAGCTCTGCTGCTGCCACCCAGGGAGTGGGTCATTGCAGCAGCCTTGGATCTGTAAAAGGAAAATATCTTTTCCAGAATTTCCCAGAAAACTGTAAGTGTTAGCTCCTAAAATTACTGTAGGATTGAGTGTGTTTGAGGCTGAAACCAATCTCTTTTCCTTTATAATGCCCCATTTTAGAAGAAAACCAGTGTGAACTGCTTCAGAACAATGGCCTTCCACTTATGATTCAGGTATTAACAGAATCTCAGGATGAGGAACTGATCAAAGCTGCTACTTTTGTGCTGCAGAACTGCAAACAGATGAGTAAGTTTGCTGTTACTGCTTTAAAAATGACAGTGATTGTTTCCATCTCTGTGTTCTGCTGCTTTCCTGAATGACTTTAACTGTGGCAGCTCTGTAATTCTGTCTGCTCCCAGAGGGGTTTGTTTTCTGCAGAGAAGTTGCCTATTTGCCACCAAACTGTGGCATTTAGGCAGAAAAAAGAAAACCAAAAATTTCACTAGTGTTGCAGCAGTGCATTTGTAAACCTGTAAATGTAGGGCCAGTTTTTAAAAGCTTTCCTTTCTATAAATCATGTGAAAAATAAAAGCAGTGTGGATACTCTATTCCTGGGGATGTACCATTGTAGGGAGAGAATACACCAGTAGATAATCCAACCTGAAATCACTGTGACTACAATCATTTTGCAACATTAAGAAATCTTGCTCTTTCTTTTGAAGGTAGGGTGTATTTTAGGGCACCCTGCTTAAGTTTTTTATTAATTATCTGTACAATTCTACCAGTGAAACAGAAAGACACCTTGTCCTCTAATCTCTACAGCATGGAAGGTTTGCAATTGCTAATTACTAAATTTCATGTATCTACATTTTTGTACTGAAATCATAACTGAGAGTTTTGTTTAAGATTAAGGGTGTGTGGTGATTTGCAGTGTCCATTAATGTGGAATTGTTTTTTAAAAAAGCAGAAACTTATACTGGTAAAGAACCTATAGAGTTAGGATTAAGTCAATGAAAAAGTCATTTTTTACACAGCATCATTGTGGAAGCAGCTCATAGTAACTATAACTGCAATCTCACCTCTTGTAACTGCAATTTATATTTGAAGTGTGTTAACATTTATGTGTACATTTAAGTTTTATAAAAATTATTATTCTGAGATTATACTTTGCATTAAATTATTGGGGCTGTCCCTCAGCATAATAAAATATAATAAATACTAAGATGTCCATTGATAAAATGTTAAGTATTAATGTTGTTTTTTATTTTATAAAGCTGAACAATTGTCTCTGAAAATAAATGATAATTCATTAAGTGTGAGCAATGAAGAAGAATTGGATGTGCAAGTCAGGAAAAGAAGTCTACAAGACTACTGGAAGAAAGCAAATGAAATTTTACACAGAATAAACTTGATTGAACAACAACATGCTGAGGTTGGCCTATTTAACAAAATAGGATAAAACTAAGCAAATCTTTACAGAGTTTAGGGAAAAAGAGAAAGTAAACCCTTGGGATAATTTCAGTGTGAGCTAAAAAAGCAGGGAAAATATTGGATGTGTGTGAATCTACAATCTGCAGTTTTACTATTATTGTAGATCTTACCAAGTTACTCCTGTGCAGGGCAATCAGAGAATGGAGGCATCTGTGTTTTATGAAGCATTTTAGTTTATTATAAACCCAGATTTTCTACAAAATAGAGATAGTTAGGTTGGCAAAACAAGAAGTTCAATTTATTTTTAATTGTTGGACATTCAAACCTATAATTTTAATATTTGCATGCATGAAATGCCCATGATTGTACAGCTATGGTGGGACAAATGATAAAGGAGGATGTGAACATAGACTGAAATAAGGTTGTTTCATATTTTCCTTGTGCTTTTTAGCTGCTTGGTATCCCTGGGTTTGGAACAGTGAGTTTATGAGTTACTTAGATGGCTCTTAAGTTCATTTCTAGCAGTGCCTGGCATTAGTAGCAAATTCCTTAATGCCTTTCCCATGAACACCTCCAGCAGCACTGCTGTCCTGGGGCTCTCTGCTCAGTCAGAAGCTTCTGAAGCTTCTTTGGGATTTGCTTTACCTTCAGAGTTCAACTGGTCTATTAGTTAATCTTGTTACTGGATTTATTTAAGATTCTGCAGAGCTCATATAGTCACAAACTATTTTTCAATACAGGAAGGACTGCAAGGAGGAGTGTTTGTGGATGGATCCTCAAATCCAGCCAATTCTGAAGCATTGAAATCCCATGAGGTGAATCCTGCTGGTCCAAAAATGTACCTGGAAAGAGCACACAAAGAAGATCATAGCCCACAGTTGACCTTGAAGTTGGATGGTCAGGTTCTTGCTCCAGCTGTAAACTGTCCTCCAAGAAAAAGTGAAACAGTGAACACCACAGATGCAGCTTCTGCTGGACAGAGTGGACAGAGCAATATTCCATGTTCAGGGAGTGGACTGCAAACAGACAGAGCACTGCAAAGTCACAGTGGGAATGACAAAACTGCCTGTGTAAAAAATCAGTCTGTTCCTCTAGCAAGGTGAGTATCCTGGACCTTAGCAGAAATACTCAATTGCCTTGCCCTTGGAATTTCCAAATGGAATGTCAGCCTTTTAAATTATCTGTTACTAACTGTGTCCTTTTCTTCTAGTGAAAAGCCACAGCCCTTTGGTGGCCCACTAGAGGATACTCTGTGGGAGTGTCTTTGAGATCACAGATCACAGACTGTAGACACTGGAGTAACAAAAGCTCCTGATCTTTTTCTCTGCCTGGTGGGTTGTACAGAGAGCCCCTTCCAGGCCATGTTTAGCACTTTCAGCACAGTGGGGAGAAATCATCCCTGGCTTTGGCCTCAAAACTCTCCCTGATGTAACAGAAAGATCTGACCCACTGGTTTGGACACCCCACAAGGGGTTCTATGATGGGCACTCCACAGGAAACCAGCAGGGAGAGAGAACTGCTGGAAAAAACATTGCAATTGGAGTGGCTACAAACCCAGGAAAAAGTTTTCCCTCCTCCACTTTTCTCCCCTCATGTTCCATTGTTTCTTTGCATGGGAGGAGAAAGTCATTCCCTGTTTAGTCATTCCCTGTTCTCTTGTTCATTGCTCTCACACAAATGATGACTTTCCTCTTCTTTTTGTGCTTCTGATGCTTCTTTCCTATTGATAATAAATAAATTAATGATAGGCAACTTGCAATGGTAAACACAGAAGCCATTCTCTTGAATTTATATCAGGAACATCCCTCAAGATATGCAGTGGGAGAGTATGAGCAAAACCGTGTTTCTCTGGGTTTTTTAGTTGGTTGGTTTTGGTTTTGGTTTGGTTTTGCTCTTTTTGTTTGATTGTGTTTTGTTTTGTTTCATGGTGAGTGTTTTTTTTTTTGTTTTGGGGTTTTGCTTTTGGGGTTTTTTTCTCCTTTGTTTGGTTTGGGGATTTTTTGAGTCCCACATTGTCACTGTGGGTTTTTTTCTGTGGCTGGCTGCCCCTTGCTCTGTGCAGTTCCCTTACATGCATTATACTGTTACTTTGCAACTGCCACAGAAATTCCCAAGAGCCTGGATAATTGTCCACGGTACATTCAGGTGAATTTTGCTTTGCTACTGCTCAGCATGATTTCACACAACTTCTTTATTTCTGCTCTGGCTTCTGAAGCACAAAACAACTCTTTTTTTTTTAAAGAAAAACCAACCAACCAACCCAAAAGCTCTCTGCTTGCCTGTGTATTTGTGTGCAAACAGGAGTTAGTGAAGGATGACCATGGCTTAGGGTCCTTGCTCCTGCAGCATTCCCAAGGAGTGAGTGACACACAAAGGCACCTGCAGGGGATCACAGGAACATGTTGGTTGCACAGGAGTTGACCAGTGCAAGCAAAGAAGAAAACCAAATACCTTTCAGAGCATTTGCTACAAATGGTGAAGGCTACAGTATTTTGAAGAGGTTGTGAAAGTTTTATGTGAATCAGAATTGCAAATTACCCTGGAAACCAGCATCCCTGGAAAACTCTGCATTCCATGGGGAACAGCCCTGCAAGGAATGCTGATCACAGGCCTCTGGAAACAAATTACATACTGGGGGCCATAAGCCCAGGAACTTGGGATAATTAGAATAGTTTTTTGAGAGTTTTATCTTTCATATATTTAATATGTTCTTTTTTATTTTTCCATTGGACTGTGTCTATTAATTTACAGGTAAATGTGTGTTGTGGCATTTCATTCTTTTTCATTTGTTCCCACTGTTGTCTCCCAGTGAACAGTTATTTCAACCACCAGCAGAGCCTGTTAGAAATAGGACACAGACATGCACAGCAGGTACAAACAGCTAAACATATTCCCTTCTAAGATGATTTTGTTCTTAATGAGTTTTTAATTAATTTTGTGTACTTTTATCACTACTTTTTACCAGTTGTTATGTATCACTAGATTACAGAGTGCATTATATGTGATTAATATCCTTTAACTGGTTTGCACAGTATTGGAATTTTATATTGTACACAATTTTACCAGAAGAATATTTATTTTACTTTTCTTCTAATACATGTTGTAGCTTTCTTTTTTTTTGGTTGATTTTAACTATTGAAATGAATGTGTCATAGACAAATGTTTCAAGTTTAGTCTGAATGCAGTTTAGTCTTTAATCTGTACTGAGCAGTGAGAGCCATTAACAGAAAATGCAGGAGGATGCTGGTTTGGTTCTGTCCCTGTAAGACTGGGACAGAATCTCCCTGTGAGTGTGACTTTTGCCTGAAGCTGTTCCTACATGCTGAACATGTGCTTAAGATTAATGGTTTTCAGATTTGCACTGATCTTAGATCATTTATTACATTATTTATTAAATTTATTCCAGAATTGGGGTCTGTCCAATCAAATCTTTATTTATCATTTAGTTTCCTGTTAATTTATAAAATGTATAAGTGTTCATTAGATGAGTATTTGCCAGAATGGTGGCTTTACAGATGACAAGCTGATCTCCAGGTTATACCTTTTTAACTGAGAGTTCATATTATTCCAGTACCTCACATCCTTCAGCATCAGATTGCAAACAGAAATAAAGTTTATAGGGCTTAGTTAAGTTTACAGGGTTCATTTGCTGTGTCCAAGTTGAAGTAACATCCTTTGGGAGAGGGATGAAAAAGCACTGAATTGAACATCATTATTCTGGATTTACAAAAATGTAAATGTGGTACATTGAACTTGAGGAATTTAATTTGGACTTTCTGCTGTTATGTTTATTAACTTTAATAATTTACAAATAGAAAATGCAGTTGAATGTAGACACGCTGATGCATGATTACCATGGCAGAAGAAGCTTACATTTTCTCAGTGTGATTTTTCCTTCCTCATTTAGATCAAAATTCATCCTACTCAGAGATAACCAGGAAACACAAAAGTACTTCAGCAACATCTTCATCCCATAAAATGGCAGATTTAAGGTGTTCAGGTAAATATCACCTCAGGTCTTTCTTTCCTGAGCACACAAAAGAAGCCTTAAAGAGTCAGCAATGCAGTCAGTTATTTCTGACATTACAGAAATTTTAGCACATCTGTTCTGTTACCTATTATGTAAATCTTAACTCTTTCCTTTTTATGCCTCTAAAAAAAAGCTAAATATTGAAATAAAGTTGGCATTGCAGTTTTGGTGCAGGTATCTTAATGTGGGCTTGCTAACAAACAATATACAGGAGCTTAAAAGATTACACTTCTTACAAGAATCCTTGAGTGGGTGATTTCCTCCTTTCTCTGATGGGAAAGGCAGAGAAGAACACTAGCCCTGCTCCTTTCCCTCAGTGATTCTCCTGCTAAGCCTCCTGGCTGTTCTGCAGCCCTTCATTCAGCACAGGCTCTCAGATTTTGGGTAATCCAGCACTGCAGACCTCAGTTGCTACCTGCTCAACTTGCTCTGTCAGTAGGTCATAAGATTGCTGCTGGTGCTCAGGATTTTAAGTGGATTTTGTAATCAAGCCTGTGTTTCTTTATTAAAAAACCCAACAAAAAACCCAAACAAACCCCAAACAAACCCCAAAGCAGCTCATAACCCACCTTTGAACATTATTTTTATCCAAGTTGTCAAATTAAATTCGATGAGCTTTAGCACTGCTTGAGCATTGCACATACTGCCCTTATGATTCCTCACACAAGCCCTCCTTCAGCTGATGTAACTTAATCAGGAGAACATCCAAGAATAACTGAACCATAAATTACCCTAGGAACGTCCTCAAAAATAAACAGGAAGGCTTCCTGTGAGGGAATTCCTGCCTAAGCTGGACTTATCATTTATTCAAGTTAATACAGACAACTGTTGCAACACAAAGTTTCAAAGCATATCTTATATTTTGGCTCCTGGATAAATGTGCAAATGGAACTGAGGCCCCTTTCTTCCCACCCCACTAATATTTTTACTTCTGGGGGGGATCTGTGCCTCATTCAGTACTTCTGGAGTTGAAGTGCGGTTTAACTTGGTCTCATAAAACATTGAAAACACTTTTTATTTTTTTTTAAGATAGAAAGTACAAAACAATAAGTATTTTCAAGAAAATACATAAAAATGAAACCTCTTTGCAATGTTTCCATGGAAAACCAGAGGTCAAACTGCAGATCATAGTGATCAAAACGAGATGCTGGACTTGGTGTTGGCTTCTGCAGCATCTCTGCTTGCTATTCCTCCAATATCCCCTGGTTTTGCAGGTTGTGCAGCAGGAGGACTGTCCTTCAACAGTAGAACCTTCACCACGGTGTTACAAAGTTGTCAGCACCGCTGTGACCATCACCGAGTCCTCCTGGAAGCTGAGCAGCGCTACAGGGAGGAGCTCTGCCAGTCGGCTCTGTGGAACAGCGGCACCCCCAGGACTCACGACAGTAACCACGGAGTTTTGTTTTTAGCAGTTGTAACCTTGTTTGAAACTGTATTTCAGATTCGGAACTTTCTGTGATCTGATCCTGATTGCCCTGCTGTTTTAAACTCACTCATTTCATTTGATTTACCAGTGACTTGCACTAAGTGATATCAGAACTGGCCACTTTTGTTTTGAGAATCTTTTGTATTTCTTGGCAGTGGTGACAGATCCTCCTGACAGGCTTTGATGACTGTGATGTTTGCCAGTCAAGAACTAAGGGAAGGGAATGTATTATAATAATTTGAATTAAGTGTGAATGGATGACATCATAATATAATATATACATATGGGTCTAAGATGCTTATAATTCTTAATGAATAAAATAAAAGCACATCCTCTATTTTTCTGGTTTAAAGGAGGTATTTTGAAAATTAAACAGTTACTACTTACTGACATTTGTACTGGCATTCATCTTATATTTTCCAGAAATAATGCTGGCCCCAGTGAGGAAAGACAGGCTGCATACAGAAACATCAACATTTAGGAGCAAAAGGGATAGTTTCCAAAGTAAGGGCTGGATTTGGCAATTAATGCAAAAAGCCATTATTTTCTGTTAGTCTTTTGCAGAACTTTACCATGGATAGAGAATTATGGTGGCTTTTTTTCTTCTCCAAATTCTGTGAATAATCTATATATTAGTATGCCAGAAAATGTTATCTACTTATTTGCTGGGAAGTTTTGAATAGGAAGTTATTAACAAGGTAGAGATGGGAAAGGGAATATAAATTCCACCAGTTTCTGCAGTGCAGTTTAGGAACCCTGTGTTTGCAGAACCATCAGTTGCCCATAAAACCTGGTGTTCTTTATAACACACAAGTGCCCCATTTGTAGCAGAGTCCATACCTTTTAGAGATTTTATTCTGTAATATAGCAAAACCATTAATGTTATTTTTCCCCTTACTCTGCCAATATATATTTTTACACAACTCAGCAGCCATTTTTTTCAGAATGTGGTGGGTTTGGGTACCTGCAGAGCTCCACCTACAGTCATAATTACTACATTCATCAACTAGTAACCAATACTGTCTCTTATGACTGATGACCAGAATTTTTCAAGTAGGCTGAAGCAGTTCTCTAAATCAGTACTTCAATTCTAAACCATTAATATTCCTTTAAAATGCATTCTCTTTTGAAAAGTCAGCCCACCCATCCGCAATTTATTTTTAATATTTTATTTTCAAAAACCTTCTTTACATGGTTCCTTATTTAATTAATTTCCAGTAAAAGCTGGTTGATTGATTTATAAATTTGTTTATATTTTTCCTCTCCAGATTCAGAAATTAATTTGTCTGTGATAGGTATTTTAAAATTTAAAATAATCCCCAAAACACAACTATATTTTATCTTGAGGGTCCTTTGTAGCAATATATTAACTTTAGCGAGTAAACATTTTCTGTAAACTGAAGTAAACTGAATTTCCCAGGCTTTCTTCCAAGACCACATGGTAGTATATGGCTCAAAAGATGGTTCTCCCTTAAATTTTAATTCCTAAAACATGACTTGTGTTTTGTGATTTGTTTTTTCCTAAGAAAGACGTGAAATACTTTATTGTTTGGGATTTCTTTTAAGGTATTCTGTTGACTCCAAGTAGAAAAACCAAGCCTAATACTTCAAACAGAGATGAACATCATAAAAATATTAGGTGGACTGGCAATTATAACTTGACACCTGCCTATGGAAAGTGTGAGTATTACCAGAAAATCAATTCTCTAATGTGCATAACTTAAAAATCAGGTTTGCATTTAGGTCAGGGCATTAAGAGAAGCAGCTGTCTTGTTATTGGGGCCAAATGGCTAAGGATTTAAATAAACTCTTATAGCTTTAATCATGGGAGTTACTCAAACATCAGTAGTACTACTACTTGCTCGTTGCTACCATGCATAAATAATCCTCCTGTGTTAATGTCAATTATGAGGAAAAGATCTAAGGGGAATGAGATATCACTAATACAGCAACATTTACATATTCAGGTTCATTAAAAGAAATGCTCTTTTAAGCACTACATTTAGTTTTCCAGTAGATTTCAGTTAGTTTAAAGTAACCAAGAACCTCCCTGTTCCCAATTCCACAGCTTTACAAAAAACCCAAGATGCCAACTTGAAGAGACAAGGAGTCAAAGAAATGTGCAACCAATGTCAGCACTTCCAAGAAAATTGCATCCATGCACTTGAGAAAGATGAGGTGAGTTGTGCAAAGCCTAACCATACACTCACATAGCTGTAGATGTCCAAACAAAAGCACTGGGAATTGCACAATTTCTTTTTAAGTCACCTTTAACAGGAGCCCAGTAGCAAAATGAACCTCATTAAAAGGATGTTGCTCGGTTGATTCTACTCCAGTCATAGTGATTTATCCTAAACTGAGTTAAGCATTTTTCAGCTGACACTCTTTTCTGAATAATGGATATGGAGGTATGATTTTTCCTGTGTTGATGAAAGCTTGCACAGTATAGAAATAACAGAAACCTGAAGGCATAAACCTACTAAAGGTTTATTAAACTGTATAGGTACAGCAGGAACAAAGGTAAAGATCACAGAAAAATACTGTATTTCAGTAAGTGGGTGACAGTGAAGAAACTTTGAAGAGCCATTGTCGCCTTGACTGTGTAATCATTTCTTTACAACTGCTTAAGGGTGTATTGCCAGTAATACCCTACTTCCACATGCCAAATAGTCTGTAGATTGACATCATTTGTAATTACACCAAAATAAATATTTGCAGAGCAATGAAATATGTCCCCTGGACATGAACACGAGAACCTTGAACAAGAGAAGAAGAAGAACCCGAAAAGATTTCACGACTGAAGAAATTAAGTGTCTTTTGAATGGAGTAAAGGAAATGGGTAATCACTGGAATTTAATTTTGTGGTCTTACCCATTTCAGAAAGGACGGACAAGTGTTGATCTTTCCAAGAAGTACTACAGGTTACAGAAGCAGGTAGTCACAGTCTAATTTTCTATGAGTTCTAAATGCTGTGAGCTCAGTTTTCATAATTTGCCCCTGAACTGATTTGCAGAAAAAGCAGGCTTTCAGGATTTGTAGCCCATGGCATTGTGCTTTGTGTCAGTTCAGTGCTGTGCTACCAATGGGAATGGTCTCTTATGGAATTCCATCAGGGCTTGTGCTTGGAGAGAGAGAGCTAAAGTAGGAAAATATCAGAGAGCCTTTGAACCTGCCAGGGTACAAAGAGAAAGAGTGTCAGCTCAGGACTCTGAACTAATCCCTGTGTTTATCAGGAAGTTGGTATTTCCTCTGTTCAGCCTCTTTTCCTGGTGCTGGTTTGTGACTCTCCAGCAGTTTCCTGGGGGTTGATCAGTACAGGCCTCACACAGAGGTGCTGTCTGGGAAAGGAGAGGGAGCACTGGTGCCCTGCCTTGGATCCAGGGAGCACTGCTGCTGTGCCTTGGATCCAGGGAGCACTGCTGCTGTGCCTTGGATCCAGGGAGCACTGCTGCTTGGATCCAGGGAGCACTGCTGCTGTGCCTTGGATCCAGGGAGCACTGCTGCTGTCCTTTGGATCCAGGGAGCACTGCTGCTGTGCCTTGGATCCAGGATGCTGCTGTCCTTTGGATCCAGGGAGCACTGCTGCTGTGCCTTGGATCCAGGGAGCACTGCTGCTGTCCTTTGGATCCAGGGAGCACTGCTGCTGTGCCTTGGATCCAGGGAGCACTGCTGCTGTGCCTTGGATCCAGGGAGCACTGCTGCTGTTCTTTGGATCCAGGGAGCACTGGTGCCCTGCCTTGGATCCAGGGAGCACTGCTGCTGTCCTTTGGATCCAGGGAGCACTGGAGCACTCCCTGCCTTGGAGTGGTTAAGTGACAAGCCTTTGTCTACTGTAAGGTGTTCTATAATTGTGCAGTGTCAACAGTTGTTTTGATATTTTCTCTTTTATCTCCATTTTATAGATGAAAAAAAACCCCAAAGATCATCAATAATATTGTCCAAGAGTACTTTGGATTTTGTTGCAGAATAGTGAAGAACAGCCTTTATAGGAGCAAGAAGAACATATGCCCTTGGAAATTTAGATTGGCTTGGACTCATGTTTTCCAGTGATAACTCAAAAATTCATTTACTCTTATTTGACAGTTTCTTTTATACATAGGCAACAAAATGCTTATCAGCAAAAATTATTTTTTAAACTTAATTTAACCTTCTTGAGCATTTGATACATGTAAGTTTTGATTTAACTTTTTATAGTTTGCCTTACCCTTGTATGAAATGACTGTACTGCTAAAGTGAATATTTTATGTCCAAAACTGCTAAGTGTTGATGTTGTTGTGTCTGAATTTGTTTTCTCTTAATAAGTGAAATGTTTAAAGCGGATAAAATATTTTGTCATGTTTTTAATGTGCTGTATGTGCAGAAAAATGTACCTGTGCCAGAAAACACTGGTAAAACACTGCTGCATGTAGGAGGCAAATCTTTGTTACACTAAGTACTCACTGCTGAACTAAGCAGGCACTGACAAAATTTAGCTTCTGTTCACAGTTGGACAATTTTTGGTGTATTATTCAGGTAAGTGAGCAGAACCCCCATTTCTGCTAATGACACAATTTTTATAGTGAAAGCCTTAGTAACTTGATTTTTCAGTGCTAGCCTTAGTATTTCATTTATATCTTTTACCTGTTCTGATAAAGGACTGAAAAATCAATAGTTAATCTTTTATGGAAAATGTTTAGTTACCATATCAGCACTAGGTTTTCACTGTGATGTAGCTTAAATGCTTGGAAACAAGCAAGATAACCAAAAACTGAGACACTTACATCAAAGATGATACCAATGATACAATAAATGCATCTTCTAATATTTTCAGTTGTTGCAACTTGGGTTTTATATTATTAAAATATTCGAGCATCTGTAAAAGATGTCTTTGAGTGGAGCTGTTGCCAGCAATGATGTTAAATATTGGTGTAACTATTTGCAGGGTGAGCCAAAGGACTCCTGAGGCTGGGTGGGCACAAAAGGGACATTTGGGTCCCTTACACACCCCAACAAGTATTTTTCCAAGAGCCAGTCCAGACAAACTGCTACTTCATCTATTGACTGAATGTGTGTTGTTAATCCATATTATTCTGGCCTAAAATATATTTCAAGTGGATAAAAGTGTAAATCTTCCCTTGACACACGGTCAGAATATCTCCATGTGATTTATGTCACCTTGGGTATAACTGAGGTTGGGAAGGCCCTGTGGAGCCCACGATCTCATCTCCTCCTCGGAGCAGGGCTGATGGCAAAGTCAGTCAAGGTGCCCAGTGCCTTGTCAAGTTCTGAAGATCTTCAGGGCAGAAATTCCCACAGGCTCTTTGGGCACCTCTCCTGCTGCTCCAGCTCCTCTCGTGACACAAAGTGATGGAACAACAGCGTGGAACATTCTGGTGTGATCTAAGGACCAGGAGCACCAGGAACCTGCCGTGTGCATTTGTGCAAGGCAATCTTTTGCTCTCCTTTTGATTTACTGTTCAGTCTCAATCATCTCACTAATTTTCTTGCACAAGTGCTTTGAAATCCACACATAAGGGGCACCATAAAAGTATGATTGCATGAAAACAGCAATGTCACTTTTAGGCTGCTCGAGCCTCCCCGGGCAGGATTTCAGCACCTTGAGAAGCTGAACTGACTGACAGACCACGTAGGAAAGTGTGTTAGCAAAACCCATGGAGTTCTTCTGTAGCTCTGTTGGACAAACCAAGGGTGTGAGGGCTGCAAGGATTTGGGTCGCGGATCACTTGTACCATGAATTCGCTCAGCTGCCAGGATACAGCCCGAGCTGCTGCACACCGGGAGTGGGCTGGGGCAGGGACGGGGGCTGCAGAGGGAATCACCGGGGATGAAGGTCCCGGGACAGGTCCCGGGGGCTGCAGAGGGAATCACCGGGGATGAAGGTCCCGGGACAGGTCCCGGGGGCTGCGGAGGGAATCACCGGGGATGAAGGTCCCGGGACAGGTCCCGGGGGCTGCGGAGGGAATTACCGGGGATGAAGGTCCCGGGGGGGGCAGTTGCAGGTTCCGGCCGGTCCGTGGCTCGTGTCCCGCGCCAGCAGGGGGCTGGCGGCCACCCCGGGCCGGTCGCCGCCCAGGGCGAGCGGTGTCTGTCACGGGGCGGTGCGGTGGCGGGGCGGTGCGCCGGTCGCGGGGCAGGGCCGGGTGTCTTGTCACGGGAGCGGTGCCGGTGGCGGGGCGGTAGCGCGACCCCCCCCTCCCCCAACCCGAACCACATTTCTAAGGGGGTCCCTTGTGTGGGCAGCGTATCCGGGCGGTAGTTGTTACGGGGCTTGATGCCACCCGGGCGTGGCGGTGGACACACCTGGGGATCGGAGGTTCATGCAGCTCGCGGCGGGGCCGGCGACCAGTGGGAGTCAACTCTTTGGGCGGCGGCTCCAAGATGGCGCCGGGTGGGCAGAGACGGGAGCAGCAGCATGGGGGGGCAGGACGGCCACGAGACGCGGCGAGCTGCCGACGAGGAAAGGACGGAATTGGCAAAGCTTGGTGAGGCGGGGCTCCGAGGGGGGGAAGGTTCCAGTTGTAGGGCGGGGCTCGCGGCCTCCCGCCGACGCTGGGCCGGTGGCTTAAGGGGCGGGGCGGAGGCCAGGCGAGCCTTGAGCGAGGAGAGCGGGGCCCTGCAGCGCCCGCCGCCTGCAGCGATGCATACGAGCTGGGGCGCGGCGTGAGGGAGCAGAGCCCCGGAGAGGCGGGCAGAGCGACGGGGGCGGAGAGCCGCCTGATGCGGGTTGGGTGTCCGGGCAGACCGGGAGATAGTGGCCCACCAATCGAGGCTGTCGCGTGTGTTTTGTTAGAACACAGTGAAGTAACGCCCTGGTGAAAATGATCTCCGTAACGCATTGAAAGCAGTGTGAAATGCAGCACCGATTGCGGGGAGCGTTAGTCAGCAGCTGAAAAGTGATGTTCTGTAGTAACGTGGCCTGTCATAACGGAGAACAACTTCAGACGCTGCTGCCCGTGGATTAGAAATCAATTTGAGATTTCTCAATTTGAGAAAGCAGAGCAATTCCTCAGTTTGAGAAAACCTTCCCAAAAAGGTGCCACGCCTTCAGCGTGTTCAAGTGCGGTGGATTCTGTGGCTGTGGCCCCACGGCCGGTCGGCACCGGCCGGAGTGGATGTGCCGAGCCGGGCCCGCGGGCTCTGTGCTGGGTCTGTGCCGGGTAACGCGGCTCCTTTCCCTGCTTTTCCAGGTCCTCTATCCTCAGCGAAGTCTCCACACGGTCCAGATCGAAGCTGCCATCGGGCAAGAACATCCTCGTTTTTGGTAAGTAACACATGTGAGCACTTGGGCGGTGGTTTGTTGTTATTTTATTTGTAGGAACCAGGCGTGTTTAAAGCAACGATGTGAACAGACTGACACATGGGTTTGTTACAGTTAGGTTATGTAATTTGATCTGTGGTCTGGTCTTCACTAGATTTACTCTCTTTTTGATTTACGCTGTTAGATTTATAACATATTTAAACAAATAATAATAGAGAATAAGTTAGTGCTTCATTCTTATTGTTATGGCATAAGCTGGAATACTTGAAAGAGAACAACAAATAACTGTGATTCAGGAATGTACAGTGATGCTTCTGATTAATTAAGTTGTGAATAAATCTTTTCTACGAAGTTAAAGGTAATTCTGAAGGTGTCTTTTTTTTCCCTGTACAAACTTACTGACAGGTGACGATGGTTCAGGTAAAACCACGCTCATGGCGAAAATACAGGGAGCAGAGCATGGCAAGAAAGGCAGAGGACTGGAATACTTGTATCTGAATATCCACGATGAGGACAGAGATGGTAAGTTCATTTAGTACGTAATCTCTTTACTGTAATTAAGTAGCTGACATGCCACGTTAATGATTGTGGTCTCATGAGTGTGTTTTGGGTTCCACCCAGGCAGCTGCTTCAGGGTTGTGCTGTGTGTTTTACCAGCTGTATCCATGGCTGTGCAGTGAGATGTGTTCCACAGTCAGGGTGAATTCCCCCTCCTGCCCTTCTGGCAGCTCGGCCTGTGTGTGAGGAGAAGGTCCCCTTGGGCAGCTCTGGGATCCATTCCCTGGGAGGGGAGATACCTTTGCTGATGTTGACTTTGTAGCAGCTCTAATGTCATTTGCTGTGGCTACTGTGGAAAGAAAGTGATACATCCTGAGAACTGAATTCTGGTGTGGATTTCTGGGCTCAGGGTCTGGGTGTTTTCTTGTGGGGGCTGTGTGTGGAGTTTTGGTTGACTGTAACAGATGTTTTGTTAGAGTTGATTGAGTGAAGAACAGAACTTAGAACTAGTATTTCCTTTGCTCAAGTTGGAGCTTATCTCTTTACCCCTTGTCTTTTTGTTGCTGTTGATCATTGCTTGT